TACAAAAAGATGTTTAAAGTATATACCTTTTGTTAGAAAAATAAATTATCAAGATTCTTGATAAAAAAAATGACAAGCAGCAGATCTGGTTACTGACCTCTCCTTGCAAGAAGTCCAAAATACAGACAAAGTACTRTCATACAGTTGTCAGTAGCATMAWCTGAATTTCTGWACAGCTGTCAGGCTTTAAAAGGGTCCCCTTCAGAGGGGGCTGAGTGTCCTCCTGTTCTCCCAGGACCTCCAGTTCCTTTACCCTAAKCCAACTGTCTAATAGCGTGTCGTAAAAGTAACTGAACTCCKTAATCTAAATTAGCAGTTTGYGAAGTCAAAGATCAACATCTTTAACAGCATAACTGAATAGAAGAAATAAAGAGGTCATGTAAAAACAAAACACAGATCAAACATTAATTTATCTTGTAATTAAATGAACCATAATATTTTAAATCACAATTCAACCAACACCTTTAAAATTAATTCCTTAAATCATTAACGCACGTCTTGTCTCACTTGTAGTTTTGCCCTATGGTTTGGTCCAGTGCTTCAGAAAAACATCTAACTAAACTACAATTAGTTCAAAATAGGGCAGCACGTCTTGCACTGAACTGTTCAATATACACAAATGTTGTCAGAATGCACAGGGCACTAGGATGGCCTTTGGTAAAAAAAATAACGTTGATATTGCACTTTTAAGCTTTTTTTATATTGTAGTATCTAAGACACCAACTGTTTTATATAGTCAACTTTTGTTTAGCCACACTGTACACATGTTTAATACTAGACGTGCTTTAAAAGGTTGTTTTATTCCTCCACAAAGCAACAGGAATGCTGGACAAAAGARTGTTATTTTTAGAAGAATGAGAACATGAAATTCCTTTCCTTCATCATTTGTAAATATAACAAATAGAGCTTTTAAAAGAGCATTCTTTCATTATTTTGTCATGTAGAGTGTTATAATTGCACATTTATGAATTGATATATTATGTTACTAATGTTATATTAAGTGCATGTAATTGTAAATGTTTTTGTAATGTTTGTTTTGCTTTTTGTTTAAGGACCCCAGGAAGAGTAGTCAGTGTTACGGCAATGGCTAATGGGGATCCAAAATAAAAAATAAAAAAAATAAATAAATAAATAAATGAAAACAAATCTAACCTTAAAATCCAGATATATGAATTTAAATGAACTTGAAAATTAAAGACTTAGTATCCCTTTAAGATATGCATAGTGTTCACCACCTTTCAAGCCAGAGTTTTAGCCTAAGATCTAAGACTAAGATTTAATATTGCAAGAATGGTAAACATCTGTTAGTAGTTTGAATTTCTGTCATGAATAACCCACAGCTGCTACTATACCAAGTTTTAGTTAAATACTGTATTTATAAAAGTGAATCACTTAGTGTTTTTTGTTTCTAAGGTCAGTTAGTTGTGGTAGCCATCTTGATTTGCATTGACTCCAGAAGTTACACAGTGGTATTTGTACATCCATCAATTACTTTCTGAAATTTTGATTCATGTCCAACCAGTGATTCATGAGATAGTTTGCTAACAGACTCCAAACGTTAAAGCCCAAGTTCTTGTCAGAATTTTAGCTGAATGTGTATTAATTGGGGTAGGTGCTAAGGATGATGCTCAGCCACTACTACACCATATTTTAGCTGACTATCTGTAAAATTAACTTATACTTGTAGCCAGCATTGTGTTTCCAAGGTTTGCTTAGCTGTGATGGCCATCTTGAATTGGCTTGACCCCAAACATTAATGAGTTACAGATGTACATCCAATGATAACCTTTCAAGAATTTTATGAAAATTCATTGAGTGGTTCTTGAGATATGTTAACAGACAGACACAGTTGGGGTAAATCATTTTACACAAATGCACACTCATTTACGAAAACATTATCGCCCCTTTGCTTTTATGTAACAGAAGTCAATGCATACCTTAAGTACTGTATGTAATATGTACTATGCATTGTATGTTGTTTTTCTTTCAGCTGCTCCCGTCTGTGTGGGTTACCACAGCAAACAAACTTACACAAGAGATTTAGCAATTGTTTTACACCAATGGCCTCCCTGACACCAGGAATAYAAACACAGCACTGACCATTGGGCTACAGCAGCCTCCTGTAATACATATTGTATAAACTATGTTTTACCTGCATATAATACTTTCCATACTATTAGCTCTTAGTACAAATGCACACATAAACCACCAGATTTTACCTTGACATGAGTTTGAAAGTTGCATCCAGAGCTGTGGTGTAGGTGGACACCAAAATGGCATCAAAGTAGCAGGGGATGAGGTAACGAGGAATGTGTTTCAGGTAGTCAAACATGGCTCCTAACCACTGACCCACCTGCAGAGAACATAGACAGGATGACCTGCTTCATTGGATTTGTAAAAACCGAACATTCAATTTCACAGCCAGCCAGTGTTGTGATGCTAAAACCAGAGACGTGATCTTTTTCTTTGCTCCTGTCTGAACCCTCACCACAGAAGTCTTCATTTGGAAGACTTTCAGGAACATCTTTGGGCAATCAGTAGAAAAAAGCTTAGCAATAATCAAGTCTGCAGGTTACATGGGTTAGATGCATAATCTTTTAAAGGTCACTAAAAAAAAGCACTTAATTTAAAAATAAGATACTGTTTAGATAAAATAAATTAGGGCTGGATAKAAATTTATTGTATGAATAAAATGAACGTTATTATTCAAAAATTAACTGTGAAAAGTAAGTAGAGTGTTAGAAATTGAGTTTCTTAGTTTTTTAGGGCCAAGAAGAAAACCATTAATATTTAACAACTTTTCAAATGAGCTACTCACTGCACCAGCCAGGGTTATTAAATAACGTGCTACCAGCTGACACATGGGCTGTGTCCAAAACGYCAGGCCGGGTCCTCTGGAGGAKCCKSCCTAGCCGGTCYAGGTGGGCCGGGTCTTTGGTAGACCAGGAAGACTGGAAAAAAAGAGGCTGTGAATTTGGACGGTCTAGCCTCCCCTCCACCCCGGCGTACGTTATGTCACCTAACAACTGTGACGACGCTAAACAGAAGTAAAATGAGATCAAAATTTAAAAACTATCAATACATTAGCATTATTAATATCACAAAACAATGAAATTAACTTAAAGGTATAACATTTGAAGAACTAATTGACCCGCTGTGGGTTCA